CGATACTTTTATTTTTGGTACTTGCCGGTACTGATACCAATATTTTTATTGCATTTGTAAATTTAAAATATTGGGTACAGAAACCAAAAGGGAATGTATAATGTTAGTTGGTTAACTTCATTTATCAAATAGATACAGTCAAACCAAAATGTATTCAGACACCTTCAACATTTCTCACATTATCAATTTAGTCGCTATAGTTTAGAAAATGGTAATAAAATATAACAAGAACTCTTTAAGAAGAGTTAAACTGAGTCAGAACAAATTCAGCTCGATTAATGTTAGATAACTTTGATACTGGAGGCCATCAAATTTGAGTGAAAATCATCAATCACTGGCGACCTTTCTCAAAGAATGCTGGTGGGGAAAGAGTTAAATGTCTCAAATCTATTCTTTATGGACTCGTTTATTGATAGTGCATTATTCAGAACAGTTATTTCAAAGCAGCTTCAGTAATCCACAGGAGAATGAGTGTGATTGCATCCATTGTGGCGACTTCAATGTCAGCTTATTCAGTTCAGTGTGGATTCAGCTCTACAGAAGACGACAGTGTCATTAATTCAGTTCAGTTCAAGTTGTGTCAGTGCCATCACATTGATATTTCTGAATATTAATCTTTTAACCCCATCTGGGCATTTGTCATTAAGCAGCAAGTAACCACTCGTTTCAGTCCAGAATCACTCTTGACTGATTCGGGCTGAGTTTGCAGTCTGGGTTGAAAGTGCTGAGAAAGCAGGACCGAACGCTGCTGCATGCAAAAGATAAACGGCAGCACGTCTTTCTATTGTGTCGTTCTCGCTGTCAGACAGCAAACATCCAGCGCAAGCAGTGTAGAAGTGATTCGTGAGCAACAGCTTTTGAAATCCATCTGTCGAGAGATCCAAATCTGCCTGGAGTGATTCCCGACTCACTGAATCGGTATAAATTACTGGCTGATGCTTCATCAGATGAATGGAGCTAAACACATTTAGGAAGTTTGTGGAAACTCTGTTTTTCAGTTCAAGTACATTAATATCAAGCGTTCAGATCAGTGTCTAGTGTTTGCATTGAATCAGTCGAACGACTCGCTCAGTCATACAGTCCCACAAAAGCAAATGCTTATTTTTTTATTTTTTAAATATTAGTTTTAATTATCGTAGTGGTAGTATAATTTATTGTTAACTGATTTTTAAATAAAATTGCTATGTATTTTAACTTTGTTAGTAGTGTTTTCTTTGTGTATTATATCAATATTAATGTATTTTAATATTGATAGTGATTTTTACTGGTATAACTTTCAAAGTGTTAGTATAGTTTTATATTAGTAGTATTTTCTTTTTTTTTTGTTTAACTATTTTAATACTAGTATAATTTTAATGTTAACCTTGTAGTATAATTTTTATTTTAATGATATTACAGTATTATACTTTTTTTTTGTAGTTTTATTTGTGTATTATCTTAATATTAATGAATTTTAATATTGGTAGATTTTTTTTCTTTTTTTAACTAGTATAATTTTAATAGTGGTAGTGTAATTATATATTAGTAGAATCTTTATTTTAATACTAGTATAATTTTAAGATGTTGGTAACCTTTTAGTATGATTTTTATTTTAGTGATTAGTATTTTTATTGTTTATTTTTTTCGTATTTTATTAGCTCTTTTTGTTTTTAGTAGTAGTTATTCAGTATTATTAGCATTCAATTCCAGGGTTTAAGGAAGCAGTTTTGCACTAGTAGCAGTTCTCATTCCTAATGAAAGTGTCCTAGCCTCTGTTAAATCCACATGTTTGTGTTCAGCCTCTTAACATCTCATGTGTGTGTGTGTGTGTGATTCTGCAGGTGAGAGAGGGCTGGGGGGGGGATGGAGAGATAGAGCTGGATGGAGAGGGCTGGATGGATGGAGAGGGGGGGGTGAAGAGAGAGGGATGGATGGATGGAGGGGGGCGGATGGGTGGAGAGATAGAGAGGGATGGATGGGTGGAGAGATAAAGCTGGATGGAGAGAGGGAGTGCTAGATAGATACAGGGGTGTAAAATCTGATTTAATTATATTTTTAGGGGGGGACAACCCTCAGATAGGAGGGTGTCCTCCTGTCCCCCCCGGGATTTCTGCCTATAGAGAGAGAGAGTCAAATATATGTAGTTTTTGAGCTTAGTAATTCTATGTTCATAATTGTCAAAAGAAAGTGTCCTAGCCTCTGTTAAATCCACATGTTTGTGTTCAGCCTCTTAACATCTCATGTGTGTGTGTGTGTGTGATTCTGCAGGTTTCACCGCTGACCTGCGCTCTAACCCCGGCGGGCAGGCCTTCCCTCAGTGCGTGTTCGATCACTGGCAGATCCTGCAGGGTGACCCCCAGGACCCCGCGTCCAAACCCTTCCAGATCGTGGCTGAGACACGCAAACGCAAAGGCCTGAAAGAGGGCATCCCGGCACTCGACAACTTCCTCGACAAGTTATAAACCCGGCGACACGTCTCCGTTCTCTAGCCCAAACTTAGACGATGCTTTACACTCATTCCTGTGTTTCATTCCTTCCCTCCTGCACTCGCTTCCTCCCCTCAGAGTTCAGCAGAGGGACTGGACATGCCTTGAAATACTAAGTATTAACTTCAAAAGACAGTATTGTCATTAACTATTGTATTTTATTAAAGAAAATAAAACACTACACTAATACTGATTTTTTTTATTTGTAGTAATGTGTTTTTAATGGGAAAATGCAATGATAATCATGCAAATTAAAAGTTATTTGTTCCTTGTCCTTTTTCATGACTGGTTTTCTTGTCAATTATTTTGGTGGTCATGGGAAATTTTTTATATATATATAAATATACAGTGAAATGTGTGTGTGTGTATATATATATATGGGATATTTCAAATAAAGACTTCTAGCTGTTTTAGTCTGCAATTTAACTTTCATGTAATTGTAAGTAAACCTTAAATTAAAATGGACTTTTAAAACACTGGATGCACGTTATTCCAAATGACAAACTACTAATTTTGTCTTGATTTCATTAAAATCTATTAACTTGCTGCAGCTCTGAAAGTTTTTTTTTATTTTTTGAATATTAAATATCCTTTTTCACTTGGTAATACATCTGGTTAAGGAAGTTAAATGTCATTCAAACAGGTTTATAGTTAACTAAAGTCATTGGGGGGAAAATAAACTTTTTGTACTAGAAGTAAAATATTGAATATATTTTTTTTTATTAAAAAAATTTAAAGGACAAAAACAAAAAAATATATATATTCAATATTTTATTTCTAGTCCAATATATTTTTGTTTACTAGAAATAAAATATTGAAAATATACATTTTTTAAAATAAAATAAAAAGGACAAAAACTACAAAAAGAAAACTTTTTTGGGCTAGAAATAAAATATTGAATATATATTTATTTTATAAAAAAAAAAAAAAAGACAAACAAAATTACAAAAACTTTAATCATGTTTGTGACCATTAAATCCAGTCTGCTGTCCTAAAAACAAATGGTCAAAAATGTTGTAAAGAATGATTCAACTTTATTGAACATGATGAGTAGTCATACAAAGACCCAACATTACCGAACAGCTACAATCCAGAAACACGAGCGTGTGTTGGATCTGAACAGTCATGCACGAGTGCTGAGGTTCATCCTGTAAATAAATACTGTGTTCCTGTGTTCACCCTCTTGTTAAATTAAGTGCTGAACGTACGAGGAACATCTAAGGAAACATTGGCACAGAAGAGAAGATAACAGACCACGTTCCCAGCTTTCCTCTGGTCTACAATCACACCGCTGTACAAAAGCTCAAGGCAGCAGTGATTTATAATTGATTTGACATCATTTTTTTCATATAACAATCTAAAATACACAATTAGAGTCCAAACTCAGTGACAAAATATGTAATTACTGCTTCTTGCTTTTGCATATGCACGAATCATTAGTTGCATAAACATCAAGATTTGCTTTATTTATATAATAGAGTTAAAGAAGATCGTTCACCCAAAAATGAGCATTATGGCTCCGCTGTAGTGAATGGGTGCCGTCAGCCATTAAAGTGACTGTTTAAAGTTAAAATGTCTTAATGCTGGATTTGTTTCAGCTTTTGTCTTCTCCAGACGTTAACTGATGGACTGGAGTGCTGTGGATTACTTGTGGATTATTGTGATGTTTTATCAGCTGTTTGGACTCTCATTCTCACGGCACCCATTCACTGCAGAGCATCCATTGCTGAGACACTGATGCAATGCTACATTTCTCCAAATCTGATGAAGTAACAAACTCTTGTTCAGCTATTGTTAATTCGTGGGTGAACTATTTCTTTAAATGTAAAGCTCTTAAACACAGTGAGGTGCAGGTTTGGCAAGAGTTTTAATTGCAACCTAGATCGACTGATGCAAAATCAGATACACAAAAATAAAGATATGCATGGTACATGTCAGTCAGTCGTGGGTGAGTAATTCGCTTGCTGTTAACAGTCAGTGTAAATATGAGCCCTCAAAGTCTAATCGCAATCATTACTATCGGTTATTAATGACAGAAACCCCTGAAAACAGTCGTCCGTCCGTTCATCCTGTAACAGCGGCGAGTGTTTCATTCGTCCGGCTTTACTCTTAGTTCTCTGAATTCTCTACAGCGTTACGGTCAAGTGCAATATCATGTGCCGATGGAAACCAGCGGAGACTACGTGTAGAAGATGACCTCTGGGATCTGGCCGTCCTCGACGGATGTGCCGTTGTTGTTTCCCGCGGCGTAGCAGAAGGTGAAGCAGGTTTTGGTGCCGGAGCCGGACGACTCGTGCGTGACCTTCCTCATGCCTTTAGTGCCGTAGTGTGAGTCTGGACCCTGAGACAGAAGACAGAGACACAGATGTGTTATACAATCTCATCTTTAGATGAAATCTCAAGGCAATATTCAGTAAATCTACATTCGTTCCCATAGTAATAATGACTAAAGACAGAGCAGCTGAGGAAAAAAAGAGAAAGAGAGGATGAAAAATGGAAATTTTGTCTCTGCTCCTGTAATTTATTTTAAACAGATTTCATAAATGTGGTTTGGATCAGGTTGGTAAAAATCGGATTGATGAATGTCATTTTTGCAATAAATGAAATGCAGTAGATTTGTTTATGCACCGAATGCTATGCTCATGGCAATAAAAGCAAAAATAAGCATGCAAATAAATAGTTAAAATGAATTAACATATAAAAACAAGCCAAATAACCTTCATACAAAAGATTAATCTATATAAGATTTTTTTTAAATGTACACTAGCATATATATATATATAGAGAGAGAGAGAGAGAGAGAGAGAGAGAGAGAGAAAGTAGCACCTTTATACAGCAAGGCTGCATTAAATTGATCAAAAGTGACAGTAAAAAAGACATTGAGAGTGTTACAAAAGATTTCTATTTCAAATAAATGCTGTTCTTCTGAACTTTCTATTCATCTGTGAATCCTGAAAAATAAAATGTATCACAGTTTCCACAAAAATATTGTGCAGCACAACTGTGTTCAACATTGATAATAATCAGAAATGTTTCTTGAGCAGCAGATCAGCATATTATACTGATTTCTGAAGATCATGTGACACTGAAGACTGGAGGAATGATGCTGAAAATACAGCTGCGCATCACAGAAATACATTACAGTTTAACAGAGATTCACACAGTTATTTTAAGTGGTAATATTATTTCATTGTTTTTACCGTATTTTCAAAGCAAATAAATGCAGACTTGATGAGCAAAAGAGACTTCTTTGGAAAAACAATGATCTAAATGGTAATAAAAATCCAAATAAATTCTCTTTCGGATGACAAGAAACTGAAAAACCAGGAAATAGAATAACAGATCTGTTGGTGAGGGTAAAGTCACAGTTAGTTTAAGCAGCTTTATATGAACTAACGATGGAATGCCGTCACCTTTAATGTAGCACAGGCCGTGTAATTGACGTTAGGCAGAACTTCCACCGGTTCCTTGAACATGACTCTGAAGGTGCTGGCCGATCCGTCACAGCTGAAGCCGGTGTCGTTCTGGCCCAGAACGGTGTTACTGTCGGTGTGAATGATCTGAAAGAGATTCAGGATCAGAAAACAACTCTTTCAAACACTGATCTGTTCCTCTGAGCAGACCTCACCAATACTGAAACTATATCACCAGCACAAACATGAGGACTGCACTGAAATAAAAGCAGCACACTGCAGGATGATGATTTGTTTTTCAACATTATGTTCAAATCTATCACAGTGTATAAGGAAAAGTCCATATGTGACCCTGCAGCACAAAAGCAGGGTTAAGTCGCTGGGGTATATTTGTAGCAATAGCCAACAATACATTGTATGGGATTTTTTTGCACCCTCTGATTCCAGATTTTCAAATAGTTGTATCTCAGCCAAATATTGTCCGATCCTAACAAACCATACATCAATGAAAGCTTTTTTATTCAGCTTTCAGATGATGTATAAATTACACTTAAGACTGGTTTTGTGCTCCATGGTCACATATTTTAGGTGTTATGACTGAGGTTGCACTATTAATCAATATCTTTTATAAGTTCACCTAAATAGTGGTTACAAATAAATGCAAATAAATCATGTAGTAATTAATAAGAGGTTATAAAAACTGCTCGTACAATAATTTTATTATAGAATTGATGTTAAATTTGAAATTTGACAATTGAGTGCCTGAAATTTCTCACATAACTATATATAAACATGTATTTTCCAGTGTACTTTTAGTATCGGGATACTAATATAGTTTTCACTCATATTTTGAATCATTTTCTATTTTTATATTTTTTCTAGTTTTTTTTAAAGTTTTAGTAATTTTGTTGCATGTTTTTGTCATTTATATATATACTTTTTTTTTTAATGTCTATATAGTTTTTTTTCCCGTCACTTTTAGGTTTATTCATTTTAGTTCATCAAGTTAAACTAAATTGAAATGAGAAATGTTGCCTTGGCAACTAGCTTATTTCATTTAACAAAAAAAAAAACAGTAAAAACAGTGATATATTACAACTTACAATTTTCAATGTGAATATACAGTGGAGATCTACAACCTACAATTTCAAGGTCTCTGCCGCTTAGTCCTATTTGAAGTTATCCTAACAGGAGCAGAAGGGCACTTTTTTAAGCATACAGGTGCATCTCAATAAATTAGAATGCCGTGGAAAAGTTCATTTATTTCAGTAATTCAACTCAAATTGTGAAACTCGTGTATTAAATAAATTCAATGCACACAGACTGAAGTAGTTTAAGTCTTTGGTTCTTTTAATTGTGATAATTTTGGCTCACATTTAACAAAAACCCACCAATTCACTATCTCAACAAATTAGAATACTTCATCAGACCAATAAAAAAAATGTTTTTGTGAATTGTTGGCCTTCTGGAAAGTATGTTAATTTACTGTACATGTACTCAATACTTGGTAGGGGCTCCTTTTGCATGAATTACTGCATCAGTGCGGCGTGGCATGGAGACAATCAGCCTGTGGCACTGCTCAGGTGGTATGGAAGCCCAGGTTTCTTTGACAGTGGCCTTCAGCTCATCTGCATTGTTGGGTCTGGTGTCTCTCATTTTCCTCTTGACAATACCCCATAGATTCTTTCTGGGGTTCAGGTTTGGTGAGTTTGCTGGCCAATCAAGCACGCCAACACCATGGTCATTTAACCAGCTTCTGGTACGTTTGGCAGTGTGGGCAGAGGCCAAATCCTGCTGGAAAATGAAATCAGCATCTTCAAAAAGCTGGTTAGCAGAAGGAAGCATGAAGTGCTCTAAAAT